ATCAATTGCCCACAGCCTGCTTCCATCTTGAGTGATGTCAGGTGGATCATCACACGATACCTCCGGACGCCACTCACGAGCTGTTTCACAATAGAAGGGCTGCTCCAATATGTGTTCCCTTATTTCTTCATACTTCTCCTTTGTAGGTATGAGCCGCCATTTGAAACAGCTAGCACACTGCACAGTAAATGCCCCTACAGATGGCAAAACCCTAGATGTATAATTCGGGAAGGAGTTTCTTCGAGCACGGAGAGGTTCAACTTCACCAGCAGCAGCAACAGCAGGATCATAAAGCACCAACTGGTTTTGAGCATTTTCACTATGATTCTCCTCATCCTCTCTGATCTGATTTCCTTGTTCCCCTGCTAAAGAAGTAACCTTTTCTGCAGGTTTCTGAGTACGATTCTCCGTGATGTCGGGGGAAGCAGAAACACGCAAAGCATTTGGCTCGATGTTGACCTTATTGAGGTCAGGGTTAGAACCATGAATATCATTTTGATCCGTCTTTCCAGGGGTGACAATATCTGGATGGTCTCTCTCCATCCAGCCAATTCTTGAATGGAATGGAACAATCTGAGGAAAACAAATACAACTTGTGTCATTCGGAAACTCCAGGAACAGTTAAAAAGAAGGTAACACCAATTTAACCAAAGATACCACAATTCTCAAAAGGGCTAATCTGCTTATCATAAACACATGACCTATTGTTTGGATAATACATAATAATAAGGCCTGATCTGCTGAAAGATAACCCCTTATAGCAGTTGGAACAAATCTTGCTTTTAATGGCAAGTGAAAGATACAAAAGTCAAACCAAAACACGATAGACAGGTAGAAAAAATGAAACAATCTCCACATCTAGATTCTTTTAGTCTAGTACAAGGAAGGAGTTACTAAAGAAGTAAATCTACTTAAAGACCAAAGGACCTCGAAACCTAATAGTACATTCATGACATACCATAATAAAAAATGTCATTGGCATTTATAAGTACAAGATAAAGGAAAAGACTGACCATCCAAACATCATCAACTATAATCTATTTCTACAAATCCTAGTAGCATACAGATGACCAGAGTATTAAGTTAGAAAAGATGAAAGGTGAGACTGAAAAATACTACATATAAGAAATGAAATAGAACAACTAATAACTCCATGTGTTATGGTGAAAAGCTGAAAATATACCAAGTTGAACAAAATAACACAGTTCAATAATCAACTATGCCTCAATCTCGAACTACTTGTGGTCGGCTATATGAATCCTCTATATCCATTCTATTCTGCCGGGTTCCATATCATTACAACATACGTAATTTGTCTTTTAAAGTAAATAGGAGTCCTTAAGACTAGAGGTTCACTAAATTTCACACTTATAGTTATCCCTACCCAACACTGACACAGTGACATACATGTTTCTAACGGCAACTCTTGCCAAACAATGGACGTAAGTGTAACAACAATAACTAAAGCTTTAATTCCGACTAGTATAAGATGATCTCCAACAGAAATAATTTCTCAAATTATCAAAGAGCACAGATAGGAAGTAGTCAGTTCACATCAAGAAGTTGGAAACGTGTATACTTGATTCAATGTACTATATAAAGAACCTAATTCCTTATATGATGTAGCTTCAAGCATTAACTATAGTATTAGAAAATGGCTAATCTGATCATCCAGAAGCTCATTTCAATGTCCTTATACATTATTGTATCAACTTGACAGAAGAAAGTTCAGTTATTTATTTCACCACCAACTGATCATCGCGAAGCTCATTTTTGTACAGCATATCTAAGGCATTTTTGTAGAATCTAGGGTCAAATGCTCAGCAGACTTTACCTCCCAACGTAATAAGTAGCCTTTTAAAAATGTTCATTTTTTTTTCTTTTCATGAAGATAATGTAAAAGCTTTCTACTCTTTGTTTTCATGATTTAGCTAACTTCACTAGATAGGGCATCCTCAAAGCTCAATTAACATTTGTGACAACATCAAAATCACTGATGTTTAGAATAAAACACCAAGAATTTTAGGAACAAGAAATTTCAGAAAATGATACAAAATAATTATAAAGAATTTTCTAGTTAAAATTGGCTATGATCATCAGGGTTTAAGCAGTCAAACACAATCGAGAATTATGAGAAGTTTCTACTACCACATCTCCATCTCAAGTTCAAATTGGTAGAGCTTAACTTGGCATGAGGAGTGAAATGGAAGTGTGAAATGTCAAATATTAGTTGAAGATTGAAATGTGAAACTATCACCAAGTGTAAGGTGAGTTTGACATCAATCCAAAATGGAAAACGAAAAAGACCAGAGTACCAGTTACGCATCCTCACAATTGTCAAATCTGCATATGTGGATTGTAGGATCAAAATGTTCTATCAACAATAGGGTGAGCATTCAAGCAATCCGCAGACGACCTTTATCACTTCAAAGTTCTAGCCTATAGGTATAAACTACTGCTTTAAATGTTGAATAGCAGGAACAGTAATCAACTCAAGTCTACCAAAGTTGAGCAATTATTGGTGGCTGAGGCAATAACAGCACCATATATAGAAAACTTGGAGGCGGTTGCAAAGGCTATGATTTGGGCAAGCTTACCTTATAAAAGAAAAGAAGAATAGCAAGGTGCCTCCAACAATGATTAACAGACAAAAACCTAATCGTTTAGACTCCCATGACAAACATAGACATGGAGGAGAAATAAGTTGAAAAGGAAGTTCCCTCTCTCCCACTTCTGATTGCATGATGCATAAACATTTTACGTTATCTTCTAATCCTGATGGCGAGGGGAAGGTTTTAAGGTTCAGATCTCACTAAAATGTATCCGATGTAAGAGGTCCAGCTAAAAAGGTTGCGCCACTTTAGTGTAAAATTTTTCAAGAGAGACTCCAGTAGACTGTTCACCCCAGATGTTGATAGATCCATAGGTTCAACAACCACATTGTTATTGGGGTTTCAGGCTGCATTCTTAGTTATCACATGGTTTATCCTTCTGTGCTTTTTTGTCCCTTGTTCTTTTATTCATTAAGAATAATTACCTCCTCCCTTTTTTTTTGGGTTAAGAACAGAAGGTTAACGGGATACCCACATAGATAAGCTGTGTTATAGGGGAGGCAATAGGTGAACAATGGACTAGAGTAATACGGTGCAAGCACCAAGCTAGTCAAACAAATCTAGATTCTTGAATTATGTGATCTATCTCCACGACTAAATTTACTTAGTAGCACTTCAGTGAACCTGGTCTACGTAATCGGACACTCTACAAGGTGATAGAACTTGGTCTCAGGCAGGTTCCATCATTTTCTCCACTTTTTTAATGATAAATCACAAATACTTGATCTTTTGTGCCAGTGATCAGATAGCTATTAGTTCAAACGGCATAGGCGAAGCAAATTATTGTATCGTGTCACATTGAAAAACAACCCTACCCAAGGGCAACAAAAGGAATCAACTGTTCATAATTACTGAGCAGGATAACGACTTACCAATTTAACCTGCCAGTCTGATTTTATCTAGTACTCGCGAATCCCATCAAACTGCTGCAAACACAAAAAATCGGCGCATAAAAAAACAAAAAAATCCAACTTCTCCGCAGACTTACATTTAATAAGCAAGCACCCACAACTTTCCTTTACGTAAACCCCAAACCAAAAGCACAACGTAAATTTTCCAGGCAGCATGGACATGTGCTAGCATATAAGCATTTAAAGTGCCCATCTTTTGCAGAAGAAAAAAATAATATAATTCAAGCAAAATCACCATACACAGTTATAGACAACCAAAAAGGAACAAACCTTGATTCTGAGAAAATACTAAAACTCGAGAACAAAACATGTAAACTAAGTTGTCGATAGAAAAGAAAAGGCAATGAGAAAATCGAAACCAAAAAATTCATATTTGTCAACCTCTGGATAATCATCAAATCCTAAATTCACAGGATCTTCTTTACAAAACTTATAACATACACCAAATCACTCAAAGTCGAGAAGAACAAAGAACATATACCCATAAAATACCAGAGAAAAACAGAAAAATGAAGACAGAAACACAGATGCCTACAATCATCAAATGCTAATCTATATCTTCAAAAGAAGTTTTTGCACAAATGCTCATAGAACACAGATTAAGCACCCCTCCCCCCCAACCCCCTTTTTTCACTTGTATAACCGTGTTATTCGAGCCAGCTTGCTAACACCTCGATTAATTACACCGGACAGACCTCGACTAATTCCACGCGACACACGGGATATCTACTACCTCCCACCAACACAGGTATCGGATAACTATTAACCCCATTACACACACTAATAAATCTATCAAAACAAAAACTTATCTTTACACAACAAATCTAGTCTACCAAGCACTTTAACAGATATCCAGAATGAACACATCAATACCCAAATGCACAAATTTATAAAACAAAAAAAAACGTATATATTTAAAATGAGAAGCTTAGAGATAAAAAGAAGATATACCCAAGTCAGAAACTGAGGGATCTGAGAGAATGATCACCTAAGATTCAATTTTTCACGAATTCCCAGAAAAGTTTTATTAAGAAACTACAAAGCTCTGGACTGAACGCATATACATACAGATTTTGATGTCTGTCTTAGTTCTCTTTGGGAAGTGAGAAACCAACCGAGGCAGAGGGGAGAAGTATAACAGCAGAATTTATATCATTGGATTTTGTTTTGAGGTATTTATAGTTGTAATAAGATTTTTTGTAATCCCAAAACAAAAACAAAAATGAATATTAATATGAAGTTACACTTTTACCCCTGATATTTCAGACTTTGAAAGTTGATTTGTTTGAATTTTATGGTCAAACATATCACTACATCTCAATTACAAATTAACTATGATAAGTATTAAGCAGTATTTTAAAAGACGTTTTCGGGAGAGGCGCACCAAAAATGCCCCGAAACAGTGGTGTGGGGTGAAAGTCTCAAGAGGCATACGCCCAACAATTCGGGACGTACGCCCGGGCATTTGAGACGTGTTATTGTAGTGAGCCGTAAGACCCAGATACTTTTTCAAATTAAAACAAAATTTGTTGAATAAGTCCTTCATATAATACTCAAATTCTCAAAAATCAGCTTGTAATTACTCAAAAATTTAAAAAATGAACTGAAATGTATTAAATTTAAAAGTCAAAACCTCTTTATTGATTGAAGCCTTAATTTATTGTCTTTCCCAATTCTTTATCATGTCTGCTAGCGTGCTAATATCTCCCAAAAATAACGAATATTTAATTTTTTTTACAGATACAAAGAAAACTCTATTCTCCTTCATAGCAGCAAGTTCAAAGTTCGAATTGCAGGTTAGTCATCCTTTTTGTTCCTCTATGTAGAAAACTTTATTCTTTTCGACTCAAG